TAACAAAATATGAAAGAATAAAAACCCTAAATATTAGAAATTAAAAATTTTACTTTCCTTAATATAAGGTAAGAATGAAAAAAGTTTATACAATTGTAGAAAAAAACTTTCTAGATCGTTCTGACTTGTAAAATCGTTTTGACAAGTAAACCAATAAATCAGAGTAGAACCAAAAACTATAAGAAACCTGAATCATGAGCAGTGAGCACGCGATCAGATTGTGTCAGGTAAGAAATATTAGTGATGCTTGAATCAGTGGACACCTGCCAGTGGCGACCATCAATTCTGCCATCATCAAAACTGTAGTTTTCAATGTAAATCAACTTGCCAGTCCAATACCTGTGTGTGAGGCTTGAGGCAGCAACAAGTAAGCCCAGATCTGCAGTTCAATTGAAATAAAGTGTTGAAAGATTTGCAATTGCTTTCATAAAGCACATACGTCAATCAAACTAATTATAAAAAATTTATTTTTTTTGTGAATGTGAACTTTTAAATGAAATCCACCCACTTAGATTAAACATTACCTTCAAGAATATTAAAAAAAACAAAATAATGAAACAAATGATATCAATCAATCAATCAATCTTCGTTTTGTGTCCAGAGACCCGGTTACCTGAGGTAGGACGTAATGAAATGATATGAGAACAAATGATATGAGAATTTTATTTTTACAAACCGTTAGTGTAACACAAAGAGTCATAAAATGTACATCTTGACCATTTGTCCAAATTACTTGATGTGCCCTGTACAGAGTTAAACAAGGAAACATTTTTTTAAATTTTTATGAATAAAATTTGGAAAATATCAAATGTATGAGATACATAGAATATATTGTATTCACTGAAATACTAAACAATTTACTCTTGTCATTATGAACTAGGTGCAAATTCATTTATGCTGTGAAACTTTATCGATTAATTACAATTGATTCTTTTCTCATATAGTTTTACATATTATATCTATCCCATATATAAAAGTTTATAATACCATGCAACTTCGCTTACCATACAAACTAGATAACCAAAACAATGGAAACAAATAAAGGAAAGCATTTTCTCCCCCAAACACATAACATAATGAATACATTAAAATGAAATATTGTAGAAATTTTGATAGAAGTGAAATGAAGGCATCCAAGTTGTTAGTTAAGTAAGCTAAGTTGTTAGCTTAATTTTTAATACCATTCCTCTCAGGGAAAAACAAAATAAAGTTGAATATTATAACATCGGTGTTGGTAGTTACAAGAGTCAAGGGTTACAACAATATGTTTTTTATACGGTATGATTGATGATGACAACAATATGATTTATTTTTTTTTAGGTACACAAAGTAAATGAAGAACAAAGTTTCAAACCATTCCCCAAAATAGACATAAGTGTGCTTTATGATAATAATTATTATCCTTTGAAATAACAGTACAAACTCTTACTATCTACTAAAAAATAAATAACAGGCATGCAGTATGTACAATCCCAGTATGCAATTGTGCCCGGATTTCTTGTTCTTGTTAATTGTTATGTTTGTTATTATTAAGCCTCAATTTCTTATTCTCACTTCTTCTTAACTCGTGTTAAACACTCTTATGCTAAATTTGCATTTGTTTTTACTGGCCCTTTTCTCTGGAACTCTCTACCTACTTTTCTGACTACTTCTCCATCACTTATGAAATTCAGAGCGGATCTCAAGACCCATCTGTTTGCAAAATTCATTAGAGAGCGCTGTTGAACAATGCAGAAATAGCGCTTTATAAACTAATTGATTGATTGATTGACAGCGGGCCAATGCAATCTACATGTTAGCCATAATGCTGAAGATGCTTTGTGTGTGATTTTATAACTGATAAAAAGACCACATTTATTATTATTATTAACAAAAATTATTATGTAATTTATTATGAAAAATGGCTAATTTTATAGCTGAAACAATAGGTTCGTTTGAGGCTTAATGATTAAAAAGACCACATTTATTATTATTATTAACAAAAATTATTACGTAGTTTATTATGAAAAATGGCTAATTTTATAGCTGAAACAATAGGTTCGTTTGAGGCTTAATGATAACAAACATAACAATTAACATAAGACAACATAACGTAACATAACGTAACGTAATAAAGATTTTTATAGTGATCCAAGAAGACTGAGTCTGTGACAGGACCACTGAGATTTCAAGATCCTAGTTGGCAAACATTGTTTCATGCTCAATGTAGTTAATTACGGATGATGCTATAATTGTAAAAAAAAGTTAATTTAATGTTTAAAATTTTAAAAACTAGCTCAACTCTAACCATATATATCCCTGGTTGTGTTTACAAACAAACTTATTTTTGTCTAATGAATGCATAATTATCTGCATTAGGCACAAAACTTAACGTTTGCCTCCTATTTTTGGCAAGTGTGCTTTGAAGTTATTAGTTGTTTCTACGCATATTATTTCACCTTCTAGTGTGTTTCACCCAATGACAACTCTACAGCTGAAAATTTTTGCTTTATTGTTCCAGAGCTTCTTTAATATATTTTATTTTTAATTATTATTGAAGACCTATGTTTGTGAACAGGATTTGTTACTCGTCTCCTAAAGTTAACAAATGTTCCCTGACCCTGATACTAATTAACTCACAACTATGAACTTAATATTATTAATTATTTCATAAAAATATTTAATTAACTATACTTTTTATCGCTGTGGAAGGTTTTTATTTTTAGCTCATCTTCTTTAGGTGATTTGTTGTTGTTTGTGATGTATTTGTAATTATTTTAAAAGGTCAAATAAATAATAATAACATGACATAAAAAAAAATATATGAATAAAATATTTGATTTGTCATTTTTATTAAATTTTATTTATTAATGCACGACAAAATTTAATTTTAATTAAAACTGAAAAAGTTTTTAATTTTAATTAAAACTGAAAAAGTAAAAAAAAACAAATGCAAATACAAATCAATGAAAACAATAGCACAACACAATCGTAACTACTGTCAGTCACTTTTGGTTTTACTTAATAAATAAAAATAAATTACTAATCAACAAACGACAAAAATTTACATTATCTCCTTCCATGACGAAAAAACCAGGATAAAACCGGCGGAATTAAATATAAAAATGTTGTCCTTATAATCGCTCACATAGAACTTGAATGTTCTTTAAAATATTGAGACCATAAACAACAGAATGATTTTCGTTGCTAATGGTTAATTTTTTTTACATTATTTCTTAATTCAACTTATTTTCATTGAAATAAAGTTTGATGGTTATTTTCTTAAATGTTTAATTTTTTAGATGAAATTTGAAAAAAATGTGATAGAGTTATTGTATATATAGTTATATACGCTTCTGTGAAGAGGCGTGGTGAAGCGAGGCACCCAAGCATAATTGCTGCTGAGGCAAGCTCTTAAATGCATGTCTTTCATGTATATATAAATTCTACAACAGTACATTGACATCTCTTTCTCTCTCTCTCTCTCTCTATATATATATATATATATATATATATATACATACATACATACAATTTGTATATATATATAAATATACACACATATACACACATGTGTTATATTTGATTATAAGAATTGTTATACTGGTTTTCTTAAATTTTTTTTGAGCTCATTTAGCATTGTTTCAAATGTGAATCTATCAGATTGATGCATGATATCATTGTTACATAATATCAATTCACTGATAATTGTTCATATTTTATGTAATTACCATTGTATTTGAGAATTTTGAAGTCTATTTCATTTACTTACAATTTCAAAAACGTGGAGTTATCAGTTCATCACATTTTGAAAATTAAAAAGTTTTGCTTGAATAAAATTTAATAGTACTTTTAATTAACTCTGGATGTATTAATTAAATTGAATTAATTAAATAATTGATGTGGTGAGATTTGCATACTAAAAATTGTAAAAATAATTCACATTAAAATATAAAATTTACGTTTTACATGCACATGTCTGTGTGTGTGAACTCCAAATGTGAAAACGAAGCTTTATTGATGAGTTGATTTTCATTCATATTGCCATTTATAAGAATTGTTTGTATTCGCTGCTATTGTTCATTCGTGCTGTTTCTTATTTGGGTATCATGCTATCTTCACATCATTCAGTGATTTTTTAAATAAGAATATATTGATATTATTTAAAATCAAGGTAAAAATTTATTATGATCCAGTTTTTGTTCAACTGATCATTGACTCCTTATTGACGTTTTTCTTCATCATTTGCATGGTCTTTATTAAAATCAAACTGTTTTAAAATTATATAATAATAAGTCGATTGTTTATTATTCCAATTAATTGAATTTAAAAACATAATCGCGTTTAAATGTTTATATTACGGCAATGCCAATGTTAAATAAAAGAAATTACATTCATTTTCCAAAATTTGTTTTTTCTGCCCAACAGCAAGCGAGACAGATGAAAAGAAATGCTGATCCTATCAAAGAGAACAACACACAGAAATTAACAATTGCGTTTCCATAATGAATAACCGACTGGAAAAGTTGTCTGTCAGTGGAATATCTGCTGTCTCCAGCGCTAGTGCCAAGTAGGTTCATGGACTTCAAACGTAATGCAAATTCGTTGTTTCACAAAACTACTCTTAAGATTACCGTCAATTAAAATTATGCTTAAACGATTATAACAATTAACTTTATTACACCTTCAATATTAATTATAGTCGTGCATAACTGCATGCATATGCATTCGTAAGCTTGCGTACCTTTAAACTCATCTACTAGTAATAATAATGACTTTCTCAATTGCGTTGTTGTCCAAGCTATGAATTTTCTCATTAAATTTTGAAACCTCGCCGCCGACCGGCAGCTACTGGTCCGCCGTGAGCTATTGGTCCGTGGACAACCACTTTCAGAAGCACTGATTTAGATTAGATTATATTTTCATTACGCAGTTATTAGAATTTTCACTTTCTTTAAACAAGGTCGGATTTATCAGGGAAAAGCAATGCATCAAATGAAGGTTGCACGACATCGTGGACCGCCATTTTTGATTATGAGGCCATCAGAGAAGATGAACTGTCGTTCAGGAAGGGTGATCAGATCCAGGTCTTGTCAAGAGATGCTCGCATATCAGGAGATGATGGCTGGTGGACTGGAGAGTTTAATAACAAAATTGGTATTTTCCCAAGTGCCTATGTTGCTAATCAGGTTGGTGTTCTTTCTACATTACAATGTTTATTTGAGTTCTACTTTTTTTGGTTTCTGCACATGCTATAGCTGCATTATTGTAGAGCTGGTGACCATGTTAACCCAGTCGGTAGGAATGTCATGTCTCGAGCTGCTATTACTTGATGGCATGGTAGATTCAAATACTGTCTGTCCGAAATTCAAAAACCTTCACACATGCGTATGGTGCGGTCTTGCGCGTTCATGCATAACGTGTATGTGCATCGTGTGGTGTGGGCAGTACAGTCTTTGTGGCTCGAAAGTTTAACAACAACATATAGAATGAAATGTAGGTAGCTCTGCATTTGACAGAGCTGCATTATAAAAAATAAATTATTTAAAACAAAAAGTTGTTAATTTTTCCACGGGTAAAATATTTTTCCTCATTTTTTCGAATTAATATGATTAAAAAGTTGTTTTCAAAATTTTAACAGAGTTTTGTCAATGATGCAAAACCAGAAGGCAACGAAAGCAAGCTGTTTGAAATAAATTTTGCCAGCCTTCAGCTAGAAGAAGTCATTGGCATTGGAGGCTTTGGAAAGGTTGTTACAATTTATTCTGAATTATTATTGCTTGAAATTAGTGTTAATGGTTGCCATACTTTATAATACAACAGGTTTACAGAGGGTTGTGGTGTGATGCTGAGGTAGCTGTAAAGGTTTCATGCAATGAAAGTAACCAGCAGGTTGATCACATCATTGATAATGTCAGACAAGAAGCCAAGTTGCTGTGGCTGCTCGATCACGAGAACATCATTTCACTGAAAGGAGTTTGTCTTCAACCGCCAAACGTGTGTCTGGTGATGGAATACGCTAGGGGTGGTCCTTTGAATCGAGCCCTTGCTGGGAAACGTTTGAGTCCAGATGTGGTGGTAGAGTGGGCACTCCAGATTGCAAGGGGTATGAAATATTTGCACGAGGATGCTCCCATACCTTTGATACACAGAGATCTCAAGTCTAACAACAGTCAGAATATTTCATTTGTTTCAATTTAGTTATGATTTTTTAAAATCTAATTTAAAATCTTCTTTATTTTCATTGACATGTTATCTTGATGCGATTGAGCCTAACCACTAGTTTTGAAACATTGATATGTTCATTTTTTTTTCTATTTGTTCATGCGCCACCACTGAAAATTGGATCTAATTGTACTATGAAAAAGTGTTACCTATGTTGAAACAAATATTTTTCAGTTTTGCTGCTGGAGAAGTTTGATGGTGTTGAAGCACGTGACAACAAAATGAAGATTACAGATTTTGGATTAGCTCGTGAGATTCACCACATCACAAGTTCCAGTGCAGCCGGCACTTATGCATGGATGGCTCCTGAGGTCATAAAAAATTCTTCCTTCTCTAAATACAGTGATGTCTGGAGGTTAATATTACATTATATTTTTACTGATTTTTTTATTGCTAAGCTCTTTCATATTGACAATCAATTGGCTTTTAAAATATATATTGTTGGCTTAAGTTTAGATTTATTTTCATGGAAACAGTTATGGTGTTGTAGTTTGGGAGTTGTTGACCGGGGAGACCCCTTACAAAGGTATTGATTCGCTGGCTGTGGCCTATGGGGTGGCTGTCAACAAACTCACCCTGCCTATTCCTTCCACTTGCCCATCATTATTTAAAGCCTTGCTTGAAAGTTTGAACCAATACTTTATCAATCAATCAATCAATCAATCATGGATTTTTTAATTTGTTTTTTTTTGTTTCATATTTTGATGTTTTTATAACGTTCAAACCTTAGTTTTTTGAGAAAAAAGAAAATTACTTGTTTTTTAAAAATTGAATTGACTGAAAAACTTAGAGTGTTGGGAGCCAGTAGCACATGAGAGGCCATCGTTCAGTGAGGTTTTGTGCATGTTGGATGAACTTTCTTTGTCATCATTTGTTAGAACGCCACATGAATCATTCCATTCACTGCAAAATGATTGGAAGCAAGAAATCGAAACCATGTTTGAAGAACTCAAATCAAAAGAACTAGTAACATTCTTATGCTTCAAATTTTAACTTGTGTCTTGCAATAGCGTAGAAAATATCTTTTAAGGAATAAATTTTGTTTATACATCAGCTTAATACTTCATAAATATATTAACAAAAGAAGTATGTTTCTTAAATGATACTTAAAATAAGTAATTGTTTCAACTGGAACTACTTTTACCACTCAGGAACTACGATCCAGAGAGGATGAACTGAACCGAGCAGCTCTGCAACAGAAGATCCATGAAGATTTCCTGAAACAGCGAGAAGATAAGTTAGCAGAAAAGGAAGTAGAGTTGTTGGAACGAGAAATGAACATTATGATTCTTCAGCAGATGATCTCCAAACCTGCACTCAAAAAAAGAAATGGTAAATTCAAAAAGAGTAGGTTAAAGTTGCTGAAACCAACAAGCAGCAAATCTGTGAATGAAATTTCAAGTTAGTTAAATCACGTAACAATTTTGCAACTTTTGGATACATTAAGTTGTTTTCACAAAATAATTTTACAGTTTTTAAGTAAAAAGTTTTTTTTTATTTTGACGTTGAATAAATTTAAAAAATTACAGATCAGCAAGAAAAAGAAAGGTCAAGACAAAAATCTTCATCATCATCATCTGGAGCTCCAGTCAGAAATTCGATTGCATCAAATTATTTACTAAGTCTTAAAAGTGTTGCCTGTAAGTTCTATCATTCATTAATATTTATATCAATTTTAATTATTTATTATTTCATTTAATTATCTTTTATTGTTTTTATCGTTATGTTTATATTTAAATCAATTTTTTATGTTTTATAATGAATTTGTTACAATTTTCAACTAATTTTAGGAAGGATTTGTAAACTATGAATATGTTTGGCAAAAATTTTTATTTTTGTTCAGCTTTAGTTTGCGTGAAATCCTCACATGCCAATGTACACAAAGTAATGTTGAGTTTTTTCATATCATTTGTTTTTTGTTTTATTCATATAGTATTTTTTTTAGTTCTTTTGTTTTTTATATATTATTATTTTTTGGCTATATTTAGAATTGAAGTTTTCCATGTTCTTTTATTTTTGCATTTTAATTTCTGTAAAAAATTTTTTAAATAGAATTTTACAGTTTTCATATACTTCAAAAACTGAGCAACAATGTGACTATAATGATAATCACATTAATACAATTTCATTTTTCTGTTATGATGAGTCCCAAGTTTGGCTGAAAAAGGCAAATTGGTCTCTTCAAATCTACAGGTGCAGTGATCGGTAAATATGAATAATATTATAATATAACCTATTCTGAATTCTGCCGCTAGATTTAAGGCTGTGGTACTGAAGTTCTAGTCGATGCCAATCTACTTGAGAAGCGAATTACACAGGCTTCGTGGGCCAGATGGAATTAAATTAAAATTAGCTACGATCGTGAGAGATTGTTTTGTGGGAGAGGCACCTGTTTGCTTAAGGTAAATTTTAAAGCCCGTTTCCGAGGCGACAACTTGAGTTTGATTGAAATCTTCCATCAACTGCGATCTTGTGTATCAATTCTACACGTTTTAGTAGGAGGAGGTTTTCCGTCTTTTTTGCTAGGATTTAGAATGATCTTCCTTCAAACTGAAAAGTTACTGCAGAATTGGTCGGGATTAACATAAATATTTAAACGTAATTTTTAAAAATTAAAAAAATTAACAAACCATTCCTTGCATGACCAGCTGCACCAGAAGGCATGAAGAACAAGACGTGGGGGCCGAGCACCCTGCAGAAAGACAAGCAGAGGCCTTCCTTGGTATTCAATGAAAGGAGATGTTGCAAGAGTGTTCCCTCGTTAGAAAGATCTCTCCAACAAATGGGTGGTCATGCAAACATCGGAGCACTTCAAGAAATGGGTATCTAAAATTCAACTAAAATAACCACGTCAAATATATCATGCAATAAAATTTTTTTACTTGCAAAATAAATTTCTACTGCTATTCAGATATAGAAGATGATGACTGGTTAAGCCAATCAGATGTGCAATCTCAGTTGGATTTGCCTACTAGTCAATTAGTTCCAGAAGTATCTAAGTCGCAAAGATCAACGTATAGAAAAGTGGATTCAGCATTTCTCAACATTGCAGCTTTGATAGCCAATGTGGCCGTTGGGTTTGACATGAGACTAGCGACCACGTCATCACATTCGTTATCTTCATGCAATTCAACAGTTACGACTACTTCTTACACAGCTACAACATCATCATTTAAGCATTCCAATGATATTTGGAAACCTATGTCAGAAAGCAAATCAGCTTCTCACACTCAGTACAGTAGTCATCGATTCTCCAAGAATGTAAATTTTGATTTCAACAATGCTCCTCATTTTACAAATCGTCAAATCAATTTTTATCAGGGCTCTTCTAACTGCTCCAATCCAAACGCCTCGAATATGTCTACGTTGGTCAGGCAGCAGAAAAAAAGACCAAGCGTAAATTTTGACTTGCCTTTAAAATTTACTGAATCAGGTTACGAATCCTCTTTTATGTGGACTCCTTCAAGCGACAGAAGACCCACTCCTTCGTATTCTGCTAGCAGTCATTCGCCAAGATCGTCGTCTCCACTAAGGAAAGGTTCCATTGACAACAACGATCTAGTGCTCATATCACTTTCGCCATCGACAGACAAAGAATTTGTTGAACATCAAAGACAGTTGTCATCTTCAGACACGGGATCCTTGTTTGAATCTTCGTTAAACACAACTCCGGGGCATCATCAGAGAACTCCACAAACAAACAAACAACATTTTTGGCACGCACTCAATGAACCTAATTTCGACGACGAAGAAGACGAAATTGACTTGCAGTCGTCTAAGTACACCTCCCCTTCTCGAAACTCAGGTTGCATGGCTTCATCTGTTTCGAGCAACGCAAGTTATGATTCTGGTTCCACTGCTACAAAAGATGCTTTCCGTTGTCATGCATCAGGAGGATTTCCACCCACCTTCATCAATCCACCACCGCCCCGCCGATCATCTAGTCAGGAACGCCGACTTCATCTCCAGCACATCTCCGCCGAAAGACCCGTTACCTTGGATATCATTCCGAGACCTAGACCACATGCCAGTGCTTTCAAAAAAATTTCACCAGTTCACTACGGTTATGGTGGTTCTCCGAGATCTCGAATCACACCAACTCTCTTAGAGACCATCCCTTCGAAGCCTGAAGATGACACGCCTCAATTCCCCTCAAAATCTTTTGCTCTCTTAGACATAGATGTCGAAGGTCAAAAGTTCGACGCCACGGAACCTCTTTCGGCATCATCATTGCAGTGATGTGCTTGGCGTCATCATTTTTGTGATGTGCGTGACATCATCGATGTAAAGATGTGTATGACGTCATCACTATAATGATGCGTATGACATCATCATTGTAGTGATGTTGTGCGCGAATGTGTGTTCAACATCTCGGTAGCTATTTCTAGTGTTAGCCACGATATGCCATCTCATCATTTCAGCATAGACATGCTGCACGTTACATAACAAATTATTTTCTAGTTGTGACTGAATATTGACCGTTTTACTGAAAAAGATTTGCAATTTGTACACGGCGTTTAACTAACGTACTAATAATGCATTTAACTTCTTTGAAATTATGAAGTTTCAATGAAAGGTTGAATTATTATAATAATCATCATTATAATAAACGTTAACTGAGTGATGTTGGCATTATCAAGTGTGGATTTTCAAAAATTTCGCGTCAGCGTCATCACTTAAATTTTTTATCTGCTCACCCCTAGATGTCAGTTTTTTGCATGTTGTTTGTGATCACTGTTGTCTCGTAATGTGTTTCAGCGTTTTCATTTATTTTATTTGTCATTTAAATTGATTTAAAACTCGTGTTTAAAATGTAAAATCATTAATTTTATTGTACACATTATAAATTTAAAACTCAAGTTAGCGTTAAAAACTACGTGTTATCATTTATAAACTTCTCACTAAAGCAATTGTTAACGATCGCAATTTTTGTTGTTTCTTTTTTTAAAATGATGTATTTGCAGTATTATTAGTTAAGATATATATATATATATATATATATATATATATATATATATATATATATATATATATATATATATATATATATATATATATATATATGCCAATGTGTTAGTGTTGCTTCTATTGAATTGAAATTTCAAATATCACCGAATATTCGTTTATTCAACCTCAGAACGGATCTTTCAAACTGTTTAAAGGCTTCTTAGCTACCTCACTTCCTGCTTAGAATTTTGCAAATAAGTTATGTTGTACCAACGACGGACTCAAAACTTCGCGGTGGGTGGGGTATGATTTTTTCAAAATTTTCTGGTTGATGACATTTTTAAGCTAATTTTCCGTTTAATCTAAAAAAAACTAAATCTGAATCTTCAATATTTTCTTGGATTCACCGCTGCTGACTACAGACTTTCGCTTATTTCCAACTTCTTAATGAGATTTTATTGTACAATTTTTATAAAAACAACTATTCAACTACAGTCAATATAACCCAAACGGTTTATTTAATTATTTCTGAATCTATTTTTGATCCGATTGCCAATGGAGTATGAATGCCGTTGATCGGTTTCCAAGCCACGAACGCCAACCTAATTCATGAGTGCAAAAGGTATGTTGAAATTATTATAACTGAATATCTGTATGAGCCTGTTTGAAAAGTTTCGTCGACATAATTCTTTTGTGTTCAACTGATAGAAACTTTAAATTTAAAAGTTGAGATTAATTTTCTTACAAATGTAAAAAAATAGTAAATTTAAAAATGATGTGATACATGAATGCAGAATGTGTGTAGAAATCACTGACCTCAGTCACGTATGTCGTTCTATTCTCATGCTTGCATATTATATATATATATATATATATACATACATATATAACCATATATCTGTTTATTTTATTTATTTACATATATACTTAGGCGATGTAATATCTTTTAGCATTGTCATTTTAAAAAATTCAGCTGCACTATAAACTTTAAGAAGCAAAGAAGAATAAATTTAATACATATGTATGTTATATATAGGAGGCCAGAAGTTATTACTATCCTGTACGGACTCCGTAAGTACATAAAACTATATAAATATATACACATATATAAAATATGCATACATATTACATATATGATCAAGAATGATAAATAGCATATAAAAAACAAAATACAGAAATGTGTATCAATGACATAAAATGAAAAATTAACTAAGAAGTCATACTATAGACAGTGAAAATGAGTGATGGAATACACATTACCGATTGATTGTAGGAAGATAAAAGTAAAATACATGTAACAATCTGCTTTTTTATTAATGTATATCGGATTAAGACGGTCAGAAATGCAATTATTGATGAAAATCACAGCTCGTTCCGCGTTAGTTAGCTTCCTATTTAATTTTTCGATTTTTCTAACGATATTTCGTAAATCATAATAACGACAGCTTTATTAAATTTTCATGATGAACTTGGATAACAATTTTATTTTCAATAAATTGAACAATTTTCAGAAAATTCTAGTAAGGAAAATTGAAAAACAAACTTTAAATTGATTAATTATAATCAGTTATAAACAAATATGTAGAAATTCATACTATATATATATATATATATATATATGCTGTGATTATATATATATATATATACATGCTGTGATTTTCATCAATATATAAATATATATATATATATATATATATATACATACATACAATTATTTATAAAGATCACTGCGTTTTCGGCATTATTCAACTTGTAGTTGAGTTTCTCAACTTTTCTAACGAGACTTTTATCATCTTGATGAAGTTTATTAAGGTTAAATAAAAAACTTTTAATATTTTACATTTTTGACAAAACATTGTTAATAACGTTATTACTACAGAAAAGCTCTTTTCGGCATCGACTTCCATCATCAGTGTAGTTATATAATATTGTTCCGTCTTTGTGTCTTTGTTTTTACAGCGACTTTGATTGTAACTTAATTAGAATTAAAGTTAATCATGTGTTTCTTTGTTGGAAGAATATTAGTATTATTTAGTTGAATATTTATTGCTGGTTTACGTTTATCGATGAAAATTGATTCTGCTATCTTCAATTTGAAGTATTCTCTGTTGTAATAAATTGTTTTGGTGTTATTGTCTAAAATTTCCTTTGTTATAATAGTGTTATGTTGTTCCATTAGGTGGTCTTTTATTGCTCCACGTTGCTTATGCATACGCATAGTGAGTCTTCTCGTTAATGTTGTTTTAGTCATTCCGATGTATTCAGAATTTTGATGCACGCACTCAACATTTTTACATGTGAATGAATAAATCAAATGACTACTTTTCATATCCGAGGAAGGTTTAATGTTGGGATTGTTCTTTATTATTAGAGATGATGTTTTCCTGTTCGTGTAGTAGATTCTTAATTTTAATGAGCTGTTGTATCTATGACTTTAACATGTTATTTATTATCTTTTTCAATATTTTTTCATCTGTTTTATATGATGAGGACATACTACTTTTATAATAAATTATGATGTTTTATATATATATATATATGTGTGTGTGTGTGTGTTTGTGTGTGTGTGTGTGTGTGTCGTGTAATCATTTATGATACACGGCTGTATTTTTTATCTGATATCGTCGTGACGACAGCACTCAAGAGTCAATGACTGGTTCTTCAGATTCTTCATACCTGTTCAGAAATTATTTGCACGATGCTGCCTGATGAAACGTTATCTTCGGGTGCACAACACACACACTCACACACACACACGCGCGCGCACACACATACACAACACATGCACCCACAAACACATCTTCCAACATTTGAATTTATCACCATCTTCATACTTTTCAATCATCATGTCGTTATTGTGTATGCAGACTCCTTAAACTAACTACATACACAAAAAAATTTAAGTGTTTTTAAGATCGATGAAAGATTTTGCTACCTTGTATCTGCGGCATATCACTACGGCAACCACTCAACAGCTGTGCACGTGACTACATTAACTACGAATTGTTCAACGACTCTTCATGTAAAATGTTTGCTGTATTATATATGTTTTAATATTTATGTGGCATGCAAACTGATTTGGTTTTACGCACATATAAACTTACAAACCAACAACATACACACATCTAGCTGAGAATTGGTGGTCCATCACAATGGATATGAAATAAACAAATTGATTGTGATTAAATCAATACCAGTTAAATTTATTAAATTTTTATTTAACCGTGCCCATGGCGACACTAAAATTTAATCAAGACAAAATCCTAGTTTTATAAACTGCATTCAAATTTCAAAAAAATTTAAAGTTTCATGTAGTAATTTTAAACTTTCATCTGAAAAACTTATCTGAACCTTGGTTCTGTTTTTTTTCATCCTTTTAGAAAAACTAAACAGTAGATTTTTTCAATGACTAACAATGCATAACGTGATAACATATATTTGTAATAAATAAAAACACATAAACACGATGTATAACACGCATTTGTAATGACGTTGTGTGTGTCTCCTCACACTCGAGCTAAACAAGTTATAAACAAATATCGCATGTGCGCTCGAGCGTTCGTATACTCAAGACAGGTGCGCGTAGAGCAGGTATTAAACTTACCTTTACGAATTATCATAATGTTTAGCATTTGAATGCTACATAAGCTTGGCAATGTGTTGAAATCTCATCAAAATGAATAAATTAACGTAAAGCTAGAGGGACTGGATTGCCAATGCATTCGATTGATGAGTTACTTAATTAATTTTACTTGCTTTGAATAAGGTGGGTTCGTTTATCATTTTTAATGAACTAACCGTTCTTTTAATTATTATTATTTCTGACAGTCGAGCTGTTTTGTTAGTGTAGATTTTTTATGAAATTCTAAAATGGAAATACTATCATAAAAACGACCGGTTTGACGTTTGTTAAGATCAGCAAATATGTTTTATTCATTAATTGGACTATTCTATAGTTTTGGTAGGGATATCTGGAGTTTGTTCGTTATCGTTTAAATTCTAGTTCATTATCAATCAAATTTATTATTATTTTAAATTTTATCATCCAAAAATTAACAATTGGATTTAAAAAAATTAAATGTTCATTGGCTATTGAATATTAGTTCTTTAGCTGTCATATTCAAAAATTTGTTACCGGAAAAAGTTGGTGTAACTCGAGATTTTCTAAAATAATATTATGTGCTGATGCATTGGGCAGACAAACTATGAAACAAACGCAGTATTAATTTTATAAAATGAATACTCTCAATATTTGGTAAGTAAACAATTATTTCAATGGGAAATATATCCGCAGGGAAATTAGGCGAGTGCATTAGGAGCAAACGTTGCAAAAACTGACGTTAAAATTAAACAAATATAATTTAAAAAAGGAATAAAAATAAGAACAAAAACGTGCAATATGTGCAACCATGTTTAGTTAAAATAATTTCGTCGGCGTCTGGTTTGTATATCTGCTTTAATTGTGCATGTTAATCAGATTATGTTAATGTTAGTTACATTTCCTTATAAATATATCGTCTGGCTCATGCTTGATACAAACAGTTGATTTTTGCCGAAAATATTTATCTGTTTTAATGATACCAAAATTTATGGCGATTTTTATTTTTGATTTAAATTGTATACTTTATTTAAATTGTGAATCTAGAAAACACACTAAGTGAACATTGTGAAAAAGAACAACTGATAGATCGTTTAGTTTATGGGTTTATTAGATTTTTGTTCGTAAATAAACATACAGACTGAAAAATATAGGTGTATTAAAAATATGATCAACGAGATAGAGACGCGCCAACTTTTGTTAATTTGTGTCTCCCTTTCAATGGCGAAACACGATTTAATTAAATGATGTCTTTGCGGTCTTGTTTACTATTGAAAAGATCAGATAAGATGTCGAATTTGTTGGCAAAGTTTGTAAAATATCATTTCACTGAATGCTTGAAAGTTGGCCATAAATTACAAAACGTCAAATCAAATTTTAGCTTAAGTTCATTGGATGAATTTTTGGGCATAAATTTTTCAGGCAGTCTAAAAAATGCGTGAATTGGGTAAAAGTTCAAATGCAATAAAATTTTATACATTGACAAATTCAGAGTAAAATATAAAATAATAATTTTTTAATTCAATTCATCCAGATAATTCTTAAAAAAGTCCTAAGAATCAGATCCTTTGAAGAAATATCAAAATGGGCACATTTGGTGGACACGCGTTACCAGGCTCATTTTTTATTATATTCTCCTTGTGGTGGACAGTGCAGACATTCAGAAGGTACTACAAATCGCTAAAAAAAGGTTCCCCACCCTACAAATCTAGTGTCACCTTTAAGCCGGATTGTTTACCGTGCGAAAAATGCAAAAATCTTGAACTTGAAGGAATATTAAAAGTTGCATTCACAACTTTAGGTCTTGTGCTGGAAGTCATAACAGCGTATAAAGATGGCCATTTTACACATTTAGGCAATGGGCAGCACGCAACAATGTTTTTCTTTTTTGGTCTCTCAGGAGTGGTTGACATACTGATGCATCACGGTGCACCTCTCCCAGAAAACACGGATTATGCAATCTCCTGTTTGTCATTCATAGTTGAAGACGTTCTCTTCATGTTTCATCTGCACGGGAGAACAAAACTGGATGTGATTCTCCACACACTTCTCTTGTACGTCGTACATGCTTGCGTTATTTGCGTCCTCTTTGAAGTTCGTTTCAGGAACAACGTGGTTGTTGCACTGGCCAGGTCTTTTCTGGTGCTTCTACAAGGAACGTGGTTCTGGCAGGTTGGTTTTATATTGTACAATCCCAATCCAAACGCCATACCGTGGAAAGATGAAGACCACAATGAAATAATGCTAGCCACGATGATATTCGCGTGGCACTTGGCTATCGATTTTATTCTCATCCTCGTCATCGGTCTCCTGGTAAAAATGCTTGGACCGTTTTGTTGTTTGGCAGGCACGAACAAAAGCGATGGCGCTTTTAACCACGTCAGATACGACCAGGTATGTACGTACGTGGATGTGACGATAACAAATTTTATTCCACTAACAATTTCTATTTTCATCACTAATTTTCTTGAAAGATTATTGCTAATGTTTAAATCATAATAATTCTCTGTTTATAACTTAACTCAACTTAGATGAATAACCGACAACCTAAACATATTAACATAAGCTTAGCTTTGTTTTAGCTGTTCAAATGAATATTTTCTCAATATATTTAAAAAACTTGTTTGGTTGAAAATTTAAATAAAGTTGATGAAAACATTATAACTACTTTCTAGGTGAAGCTGATAACGACGAACGCCGAAATAAACCACCTTCCCGTGTTAGACGAAAGTGAAAGCGAAGAGGAGTTTAACGCTACAAAACCATGAATCGGCCATCACTTCAAAATTTTTTTTAACCACGAACTACATTTTCTACTTTAAAATTAAACCTATTTTGTAGCATATTCAAGAAATCATACCAATGTTAATAACCGACGCAACGATAACGTTCGTCTCAGCTTGACACCGTCGTGTAACATTTTTTACTTTATTTAACTTATACTTCCAGTTGTTCATTCCCATATGTTGCATTTTAAATTTATCCTTTGTTTTTACTGTTGAAAAATATCAAATGAAAATTTTGGCGTAATTCAAAATTCAACAAAATATCGACTGGTGGAACCAAGTGCGAAAGGAAAGAAACTGACGGAAGAGACAGCACTCTGGTCAAATGAATCGATTAAACTTTTCAAACAATACGTACGAAAGCTTAAAAATATGTTGGCGTGAAATGTGCGAAGCAAGAACCATTGCAAATAATTTCAATCATGTTTGTCTATCCATCCATCCATCCCACCGTCCGTCCATCCATCCATTCATCCATCCATCCGTATATCTATCTATCTATATCTTACCTATACATATGTATAAGATATCAGCGTGTTAATCCTTGAAAAGACTAAAAAGTCTCAAACCTTAATCTGGTGACATAGGAAAATTTTATTGAACACTCAACAGACCAGGAATTAAGAAACCTCTCCCCAATCGTCTGCTGCTCACATGAAAATAGTGATGCGGGCATGATTACTTTAGAATTATAAATATAAAAACAATCGGGCTAAAAACTATTAACATTTAAATGATGCGTTGCAGTTAATATAAACAAAAACAAATTGACTCAATGCATAAAAATAACATAGCACATATCAGTAGCGGGAACAAATTATTATTAATAAATATTATTAATATTATAAACTAGAAATGACGAGAATGACCGAATGAGTTGTGATGACCTTGCGTGATCATCATGTCGTTGGATACTTCTCATTATATCTTTCAAACCCGTCACTGATTGCCTTCCTGCGTGTAAAAATTCAACCAAAAGTGCCACATGTTAACTTTTAAATTATTAATTATATTTAATTTATTAATTTATTCAAACAATTAATAATAGAAAGAGGTGAAACTGGAATGAGACTCTGTGAGTGGACAATAACGTTTATCGAACGGTATAAAAAGTTTAAATAATGCTCTCTAAACTTTTTTTTTATAATTAAAAAATTAATGAAAAAATATAACAGCTTTCCAGTATTTTGTAACCATTATAAAGATTGCAAATTAAAAATTTGATTAAAATTAAACAAAATTCTAGTTTTTAAATTAGCATTAAAAATATGGAATGATTACGGATCTTTATATTTCATAGGAAAAGACAGTGAATGGTTAGATTCAACATCTAAAAAATGGCTGCCGACAAAATAGCGTATTAATATAAGACCGATACGTTGTCAGTCACACGAAAAAGGATTATTAATATAAAGATAGACACTCAAACCCACAAACCTGAACACTCCTTGCTTGAGTAGGTATGCAGAAATGTGTCCAGCGTCAATGTATCTTATTTCTGAACCCGGCCACAACTCGTTCAGACCCAAAACTGTGGATTGCGGATAATACGCGTCCGCTCTAGCAACCACAATGATGACCAAGTTGGTGTCCACGGGAACAGAAAAATTTCCTAAATGAGTGCATTCGTCCATGACGCCTCGCATGAAGTCGAGCGTTTGCTCGTCACCAAACGGTCGGACTGGTGGCTTGTAGGCGGGTTTGGCATCGGAGGAATGGTTTTTTATTGCCGCTGACAACGTCGTCGTTGGAGACGTAAAGTTGAAAATAGCTGATAGGTTTAAAACGTCGGTGAATGATTTTAAATGCAAAATTGAAGACAGGGAGGATGACTTTTGATATGTGTCGTATCGTTGCTCACAAGATTTTGACGTTGCCTTCTCTGCTTTTGTAACTGGAGGGTTATTATTTTTAAAGTCGGATACGTCACTTTCATCTTTTGATAAAAATTCGTTGCGCAACGACTCCAAGTTTTTTACACTTTCAGGGTAATTTTTAACAAATTCACTCCCAAGGCGAAATGCCATGTTCTGTCGATTCTGAATTTACGTTCATAACGATAAAAAATTAACTTGTTGTCAATGCAAAAATATAAAATGATACAAAATAAAATAATAAAAAAATGAACAAATATTTTTAAAACTTTACCCATTAACAGTTGAGAAAATCTATTTTTAAAATATTTCCATATCTTATTTAATTTATAGAAATAGAAATGCAAAAGAGAGTTTTAGGTGTGAATTCAAGAATGTAGTTAGTCAGTGAAGAGGAAAATTGTAAAATGTGGAAAACGAAAATTTAAAGCCAAAACGACGCAACTTTACTTTGGAAACGAAATGTTGAAATTTTGACATTGCCTTATGATAGCTATATTTGCATGAGGAGCAAAAGACAAAAAAAACAAAGCAACCAACTTAATACGGCCGAGGCAGTGGAAAATTGAAGTTTATAATAACGAAAAAAATGAAATATAGACCTTCTCGGGGCTCTGAATAAGTTGAGATAATTCATTCCCATAAAGTGAAATTTCTTTGGAGAACTGTTCCTTCAGCAATTTCCATGGTAGCGCCCCACTCATAACACCCTGGATATTCATGATAGTCATCAATATAGACTGAAGGCTTGAAAATGATATACCTACTTACTGTCCATCAGATAATAAAATGAAACAAAATGATTGTCATGCTGGTGATAAAAAATGAGAAGAAAACCTCAGTAAAAACTACGGAAGCAGTACTCCAGGACAGGCATGGAACCAGAACTATTGGCTTGTGCCAGTTGGTAGCCGCTAAAGAAGCCATCTGATATATAACATCAAATAGGTAGTTAATTTCATTTTTAAAAATATATGTTAATACAAAACGAATATATTTAAATATACATCATAAAGATTGCTACAGTAATTTATAAATTTAATTAAGAAGAACTAGTAAAAACCAAAAAAAGTCAAACGCAATACACACACACACACACACACACACACACACACACACACACACACACACACACACACACACACACACACACACACACACACACACACACACATTCATTTATGTATACACGACGACCAACATGTCCTCCCATTGAGATACCAGTGAGACCAAGAGGTCCATACCCCTGCTTGGTGCACCAGTGCAGGAGCACTAATGATTCAAGTACGAGAGCACCTCCCATCACAAACAAGTCCGATACATTGTGCAAACTGGACCGCCTGGATAGATGGATGGATGGATGGTTGACGCATGTCGTAACATTAATTTGTTAATGAAATGATGAGTCCAAGTGACAGATTTGACAAGGAACAGTAATACAAAGTATTGTAAAATAATGACATAAAAAGCAAATTGCGTATATAATAAATTGGAAAATTTTCATTCAGTTTTAAAATTCATTTCTTAAATAAATTTTTTTTAAAATGCTAAAGCTGTAGAAAAACAATTGAGTAAATTCATAACTGAATAAAAACCACGTGAACGTTTTGAAACTCACACTTGCTGCTTCGGCTTCCTGTAGCCATCTAAAAAAATAATTTGATATGATCTTCAATGAGTTTAACAGAATTTACATACAAAAAAATTATATTATAAATAATAGAAATGAATAATAGTTAATAATAAAAAATTTATAAAGCACAAGCTGAACAACAACTGAACAACAACTCAACAGTAAGGATTTTCGAGGATGATGGAAGCAATGCCAGCTTCCTTCAGGAGAGGTCGTGCCAGCAGCGTCCTTCTTCTCCAAAAGAACTTTGTCACATTCATTGGAAATGAATTTTAAATAATTCAATTGAATATTATTACTCGACGCATATAATTATAACTAAAATATCTAACTAAAATATATTATATATATATATATATTTCATTGATATATATATATATATATATTGATATATATATTAATATATATATTGATATATATATTATATATATATATAATCAGAGCATTGATATATATATATATATATATATATCAATGCTCTGATTTCAAGAGTCAGCAATACTTGAGAAGTTGTCAAGCCATTATTATTATTATTATTATTATTATTATTATTATTATATTCCTTATCATTTTCAGAACTTTCAAGTATTCAAAATTTCTTCTGACATCCACAATCATCATCACATTGCCAGAAATTTAAAAATATTTCAAATGAAAACTGTATAAAAAACAATTTAAATTGTGATGAATTAACAAATAACAACAAAAATAATAATAATAATATTAATAGACATAAGAAAAATTGAAGTTGTTGTGGAATGGGAGAAAACCAACATGATCTCCGGTTCCAGCCAGATGTATGCAAACTGGTCTTCTTTTCGACTTCCAGACTACCGGGATCACCATTTGGAACCTTCAGCAACATTACAAACCACCATAGCATCAATTTCTTAATTCACCCATCTGCCTATGATAGCATGGGCAGCTCCATAAATGTAAAATGTAACACCAACAATTCGCAAAGTAGCAGTCAGTCACAGGATAATTAAATAATAAAAATAATAAACCAACCTCGCCGTTTCCGTTTCTTTTGGCATGATGCCAGGCATGTGCAATGTTAGAGGTGATAAAAAATGCCCACCAATCAGCTTATAATCTCTGTACTTTTCTTCCTTTGGAATAAAAATTAAATAAAAATACAATCAATCTACTAAGCAGGACAATAAGAATGATTACATAGTCAATGTAGACCGGATGATCAGGTGAGACGAGATGTCTGCAGGTATCTCTGCACGATATCACCTTACGAAATTCAAAAATTCTGCAAAAACGGTTCAATCAAACTAGTGACATAAATTGAAAATAACATCCAGCTGGAGTAGAACTGAAACCTTTTCAAGTTTTCTGGATTGCCCCATCCCTTCACAAAAAACTTTGTCAACAGTAACCTTCTGTAGAATTGATCAAGTCGACTCATTCTTCAATTGTTTTTTAATTTTTCAGCTACTGTAAATAGTTTGAATTATTTAATTAGCCTAACATTAGAGATGACCAGCATTATATAAAAATCATGCATGTTCAATTGACTGCTTGGAATGATGTCTTAGAACTTGCCTTGAACAGCAATAAATGGAACTGATCTGATAGAGAATAAATAACTACAATAGAAATTTTACATCATTCTTCAGAAGCTAAAATAAAAAAAAGACTTAATCTAAGAACATTTCTAAAAATACACATGGCATATTCAAAATCCTAAATCAATTATTATCAATTGTTGCAGATCTTGTTATGTCCCAAATTTGATTGAGAAGTTGGACAAAGCTTGGTGACTGATGTAAACTGGTTACTCTTTTTAATTTAAAAGAGTGGAATGATGGAATGATCTTCCAACAAAATTTAAAAAAAGAAATGATTTCAGTGAAGGAGTTTAAAAAGGAGTTTAAAAATTATTCATTATTAGCAAAAGAAAGCATCTGCAGAGTGTTCTATCCTCTGAAAAAATGCAGCAGTAGGAGTCAAAACTGTTAGATTAAAGAGTAAATAATAAAAATGATCATTAAGTTGACAGCCTAAATATTTTGCCAAACCAAAAATCTTACCACCTCACTTACATCAAACTTGTCTAATTACTGTTACTAAGGTATGCCAGTCTAGTAAAATACAATAAACAATAGAGTAGTATATGCTGATATGTTATTTATTTATATAATTTATAAAATAATACAATACATATACGTATTAAACAAGCTAGATTATACTAGTGGTCCAAGTTGCAAATAAATTTTATTTGCAACTTATAAAACCATATGGTTTCTACAAAAATTAAAATTTTTCTAATAGCTAATTGCCAACATAAACATGGCCATGAAGAAAAAACAGCTGATTCAGTATGGCTTGTAAAAACATAAATTTTGAATTAAATTTGAATTAACATATTAAATTTAAAATTTTAAAAGTTAATTAAAGCTTTAAAATTTAAATTTTAAAAGCAAAAACACTTTGAATCAAAGTCTTTGATTTTAATTTATGTTTAAAAATGATAGATTAGTAATCTACACTTTACTTTTAAAAATAATGAGATATAAATAATGTTTTTATTTTTGTTACCAGGTTGAGTTACTTTAATTTTAATTTAACTTACAGTACAGAGCAGACTGGCAGTGTGTGTTCTATTCAGAGGGTTTGCACTTGCTTGCTTGGGGCTAATTTTCAGTTTAAAAATTCACATCTAAAAATTCATTGCTCAACAAGAAATATTAAATATAGATATAAAGTAAAAGTACGTGGCCAAAAACGAACTAAAAAAATAAATGAAACAATGAATAATTTCCTAAAATGCAAATAATTATCTGAACAAATTTTTAATCCAAGATGCTAAAAGAAACTTAGCAGGTTTAAAAGTTAACCTAGATATTTAAAGAACAAATGTCATTTGAAGAACGCTGCACTAACGTTCGGAAAACGGTTAAAAAGTATTTTTAACCCACCTTCCCACATTCGATCCCGTTTTTTGCAATTATATTCTCCATTATTTTCACATTTTAATTTAAAGTAATTAAATTGATAATCGATTAAACTGATTCTTGGTTTTCTTCTTATTTCTGTAATCGTTAATGATAGTTTAATAGCATATTCTATTAAAAATACCTCCATTTAATTATCTAAGTATGCAAGTATACAAGCAAGTTCTGACAAATGTTTGAATGGCCTGCTTTTATAAAAGGGCGTCAACCCCCTGGTTCGCCCAAATGTTAGACAAACAAACATTTTATATGACCATTTTTCAACTTTTGAAATCAATCAATCAATCAATCAATCAATCTTCGTTTTGCGCCCAGAGACTCGGTTTCCCGAGGTAGGACGTTGTTTTCTTTGCCATCAACTTTTTGCGCCAAATTAGACGATCAGTTGTATCCATTTCATTTAAATTTAGAGCTTTCATGTCTTGCTCGATTGTTTGCGACCAGGACTTCTTTGGACGGCCTTTGGGACGTGTGCCAGGTACTTCAACATCTGCAAGAGAAGTTATGGCACTGTTTCCACTTCGTTTGACATGACCAAACCACCGCAGACGGTGTTGCCGGCATTCGTCCTTTATATCATCTAAACCAGCACGACGCAGGATTTCGGTAGATTTGATGTGGTCCTTCAGACTAATTCGTTGCATCCATCGGAGCATTTTCATGTCGGTTCGTTGAAGTTGTTGTTCCAGTTTGGTTGTCATTGGCCATGTTTCTGCACCATATAACAACACCGGACGTATCACAGATTTATAAAGTCTTGATCGTAGTGGTAGTGGGATGTCACGCCGCATCAATATAGAGGCAAGGAGATGCCATTTATTCCAGGCTGCACGTATGCGTGCTCGAACGGCAGCTTCAGCTGTTCTAGTACATTCCAGAACATCCCCTAGATATTGAAACGATGTGACTTTCTCTATTTTAATGGCTTCAAAAACAGTGCTATTTCGAATTTGTTGTGTTGATTCATGCAAGCAGCACAAACAAAATTGGACACTTTAGATAAAGAACCAATTATTTTTGAACAACGTTTGTGACACCACTGGTTACACTGCTGACACTTGATTGAATTGTTACCTACACCAGCTTTACAAACTGAACAGGGCCATCGTCCAGTAGCTGTGGATTGGATGGGTTCACCAGTGTTCATTGCTTCGGTTTTGCTGATGTTGACTTTGAATCCATGATCAGCGAGTCTGGTGTTCCAATCTTCAAACATCTGTGCTGCATTCTGCTCAGACGTGGCTGTTAAAACGATATCATCAGCATATACTAGTTTCCAAATGTCACCAGTGCGTATCGGTTTTGTGATTTCTTCCACCACAGTTATAAATAACAGTGGACTGAAAATTGAGCCTTGGTGAACTCCAACGCCGATGTCAAATGCATCTGTGTTTTTAACCGTTGTGCTGACAAGAGTCTTAGTATTCGTATACATTTCCATCAAAAGTCGAACAAGATATTTTGGAATGAGTTGTCGACGTAGACTTCACCTGATTGCTTCACGGGGAACTCGATCAAATGCTTTTTCAAGGTCTACAAAAATGTGTGATAGTTGTTGATACTTTGCGAGGTACTTCTCTTGCAGTTGCCGAAGGATGTGAATTGCATCAATTGTTGATTTCCCCGCTAGAAAACCAAATTGATAATTTCCGATTGTGATGCACGACGTTAATCTTCTCTCAATGATTTTCTCGAAAATTTTCAGGGAGTGTTCTAACAGACGTATACCCCGATATGACGAACAGTTCAATGGATCACCTTTGCCTTTGTATAGCGGGACTGTCATGCTATAGTTCCATTCAGTCGGCATTGAGCAATTTCTCCAGATTTCACGACAAAGTTGTAGTAACGTTTGGATACCTGAAGTACCAGATGCTTTGATAATGTCATTTGTGAGTCCAGAGGGCCCTGCTGCCTTTCCATCCTTCATAGCTTTCAGAGCTTCTGTAAGCTCCTCTACAGTGATGTCTGGAATCGGACCTTCGATGGGTGGAGCGTCAAAGTTAACATTGATGGGATTTGTTTCGTTTAACAGACGGTTGAAGTATTCTCTCCACTGTAGCTTGATCTCATCTCGTTCAAGAACCATCTCATTTTTGTCATTTTTTATACATGAGGCACCAACTATGTCTTTTTTCGTACGCTTTGCTTGTTTTGCTATACGATACAGAGATTTTATTTGTTCACCTTTGCTTTTAGTGAGCCACTCTCTGCACTGATCTGTCCGAGCCAGTGCAACTTGACGTCTTGCATAGTTGTTCTTCTCACGGAAAATTTTATGGTCATCAACAGACTTTGAAATTTTTCAAATAGTTATTTATAATCAAAAGTATATTATTTATAATCAATATTTATAATCATTTATAACATTAAAATGATGAACTTAAAAAATCTTTTAATTTGTTATTCATCTAATGATAAAATTATTCAAATTTTCAGTTTGAAAATCCCAATGAACAAATGTATGATTAATGTATCTTTTAGCATAATATATTTGGGCATTTACATGTATATGTTCAAGAATATTTTGACATTTTGATGGTTAGCCAAGATTTGTGGTTGTGTAGCCAAAATAAGACTTCTAAATAAAACGGTGTTTTTTCTGTGCAAAAATGAGCTTCATTGACTTTTTTGAAAATACAACTTACAACGGTGGGCTATAGCACTCAGGCCTGCTTAGATACGTCACTGTATATGTCTGATTGATGTGTTTGCTTGACCTGGAATATTATAATGCGTGATTCGGTTAAGAATATCATTGAGGGCTTTAACGGAAAGAATGCAATGTTAGTTCAAGATCATCATGTATGTGCTTGTGTATGTGAATTTAAATCATATCAAACACTGATGAGTAGAAGGAACTGATCCAAATACTTTATCTTTACTAAAATGAAATGTTTACTCTATGCAAACTGGCACTACAAAGACTATTAAAAAAATATAAAAGATATTTTTATCAACTTTTCAAATTATTCCGCCACAATTTTGCAGGTGCAAATGTTCTCAAATGTGTCATGTCACTCAATAGATAGCGATTCAGTTTTATGGTTGTATGTGATTGCGTTGGTATTGCTAAGGCAAGTCTGAAAAATAATTTTATTTAATTCGTTAATGAAAATTTCTAAGCACTTTTGTTTATTTACCACTTTTTCAAATTTCGTAGTAGATAATTTGTTTAGTTCTATTTATTTTAAAAGTTTTCAACTTTGATTGTTTTACAATTTTTTTATTTAATTTGGGACTAAGGTTTTTATTATAGTGTTGATGTTTTGAGCATAGGACCTGTTTGCTGGAATGAAGGAGACTCAACATGTTATTGATCATGATCAAGTGGTCCACCTGCAGTTAGTTGGCTCGCTCTTCACAAATTTCTCTTCTTAATTGTTGAACACGTCAATTTATCATGCAGGTAGAAGTTCTAAATTTTTTTTAAAGTAAACGCAAAATTATT